CTATTTATATTCGATCAGTTCGGATTCACTATAGATATTTTTTTGGATATTTTCAGTTTCTTGATTAGTCCCGTTGCAAACAGTCCGGGAACTGATTAAGAAAAATAATTAGAAAGAATGATCATTAATATAAACTAATTTTTTATGAGAAAACCTTTTTTTGTTATATATTTCCCATTTGATTGAATTCATGCTTATAAAATTATTTCTATTATATAATATTGTGTTTTTTTTTTATTAATTGTGATTAAATATAATAATAATTTCTATATGCATATAAATTTATATACAAAAAATCATCATTTTTGAGCAACTTATCAAAAGTTTATTACATATTTAAACCACAATTTAAAATAATGATTTTCGGTAGAATGCCATAGACATCATTAAATTTATTATTTAAATGGTTTTTTTTAACTGTAATTTATATAATAAATATTTATATATCCGTTTTTTGCTATATATTTGATTATTATTCATTTTTATAAAGTTTTCTATAAAATTAACCTATTCTTTGGTACAATTTAGATTTTATGATGTAAACTTATTATTCTCCTAAAATTTCAAAACATAAATCATTTTTATGGTTTATCATAATTTTGATATTTAGATGTAACAATTTTGCTATATGTTGAATAACCATACGAAGTAATATTTTTACTTTGAAAATAGAAGAAACTACATTAATTCTTCAATATATTCGCGTCTCAGAATTATTTAGTATATTTATTATGCAACAGCTTTTCAATTTACCTATATTTAATTATATAATATAGTTTATTTTTACCAATTGTAGTCTTGGTTTGGGTCTATATCGCAAGCCAGACCACCTATTAAAATCCCGACTTTCGAAATCCCGACTGTATTGAAATCCCGACTATATCAAAATCTTAACAACCATAATCCCGACTATATTGAAAATGTTTACAATAACATTTTAAAATTAATTTGGAGTGTAGTCACCTCGTGCTACACTTTTATTATTAATAACAATAAATTATTATTAATTTATTTGATTTTGTTGAATTATTCATTATAAACCTTAACATTATGAAATAATCTCAAATACAATTAGATTATTCATTGTTATTATTTATTATTAATAACAATTTAAAGGTCACTACGCTCCGGAATAATTTAAAAATGTTATTGTAGACATTGTAGTCGAGATTTGGTACAGATTATGGTTGTCGGGATTTTAATATAGTAGGGATTTTGATATAGTCGGGATTATGGTTGTCGGGAATATAGTTTTTTTTATTGTAGTCTGGGTTTAAATATAATAACAATTTCTATTATAAAATTATATTATGATTTCGTCCATTTTTAGTTAGAAATGTTATTTCCATACAACTATTTTACATTTTAAAAAGTTTTCCGAAGCATTTGCATTGAAAATTATAACTGAATACGAGATACAAATGCAGAGATTTTAAATAATTTATTAGAACCTAAGAGCTAATGGCATATTTTATTTTACAAATTTCCAAAGTGAATTCAAAGCAGTTTTTTTAAATCAATTTTCTACACTTTTATTTCAATAAAAATAATATAACAATTATAAATATACAATTTTTATTTATTAATTAGAAATATGTTTGATATTAAAATTACTATAAATTAAATTCAGAGAAAAAGAAAATATTGATCAAAAATAAATATAATGAATTTTCTTAGATTTTATACATAACATAAATATTGCGTATTTTAAAAATCAATTTTGTAGATTTTCCAATTAAATATTTGCTAAATTATTTATAATTGTATTTCTAAATGGGTTTTGATATTAATTTATACTTCTTCAATTTATTTCGACTCGATTCTTGCGAGCTTTTACATAATCCCACTTAATTCAAAGCGAATCAAAGATGTTCTGATTCAATTTAATCTCATTTCTAAATCTTCGATTTAAGAAATTTTCTTGTTGTTAGTTTGTATTTGATTTAAAGATTTGTAATTAAAACAATCCTGAAAAACTTATTATATTTCTAAATTAAAATACAGGTTTACAACTAATATTGTTTACGTTACTTTTTTAATTATCATTTATTTCATTGATTGAATATTTTGAAAAAAAAAGAAGCAGACATAAAAGTAAATGCACACGACTGAATTAATTAAATGGAAAATACTTCGTTTCGTATTGATGCACCTGTTAATAGGAATTTCGCTTTCAATTCGAAAATTCAAAAGCATAGATTTCCCGTTCACTTGTTGGAGTAATTTCAGCAAACTGGGGGCGTGCAATTATAAAAGCAAGTTCATTAATATAATGGACGGAGAGCAAGAACAAAAAAAAATTCTACAAAATCATAAGAAGAAAAAAAAAACATGTTGCATCTACAATTCTAATTAATACTCATGCAGCTTTTGGTACGAAACGTAGATCTGTGAGATTAATCCCAACGAGGGTCCATTCAACTATAGTGAAGGGATTCTCCAGCTGTTGTAATTAATCTTCCGAAAACCTTTGACCTCATCTTTCCAGCTAAATCCTTGCTCACACGAAGAAAGATTCCCTTTCATAACACAATACTTAAATAGTTTGATTAATCATCTCCATTAAGTTTATCTATCTTACTAAAACTAACAATTTGTAACTTGTCAAAAACATCCAAATTCTTTGCTATAAATCAAAATTTCTTAATTATTTGTTATATATTTAACTATTTAAGAAAGTTAAGTAACTTAATTCGAATAAATTATATAATAGGCTTTAAATACATCTAATTTCACCTATGATTCTTAATTATACTTTTTTTTGTATACTTTCAAATTTTACTATTTACTAGAAATTATAAGTGTATACTTATGTCTTTGACAACATTAGAAGTTAAGCAACGTGCGGTATCATCTATCGAATAGTTGATGATTCTTTTAATATAAGAGTTAAGCAACGTGTGGTGCGGGTGGTAATACAAATTTTCTGATATTTTTCATGGGGTGGAAGAAAGGAGTGGAATTTTTTCTACTATTACTATTATCAAATTCAATTATCATTTAAATATTTAACAGTTCATATACTTATGTCTTTGACAACATTAGAAAGTTAAGCAATGTGCGGTATCATCTATCGAATAGTTGATGATTCTTTTAATATAAGAGTTAAGCAACGTGTGGTGCGGGTGTTAATTCAAATTGGTGATAATTTTCATGGGGTGAAAGAAAGGAGTTGTAGTTTTTCTTCTACTATTATCAAATTCAATTATCATTTAAATACTTAACACTTCATATGCTTATGTCTTTGACAACATTAGAAACTTCAGCAATGTGCTGTATCATCTATCGAATAGTTGATGATTCTTATAATATAAGAGTTAAGCAACATGTGGTGCGGGTGTTAATTCAAATTGGTGATATTTTTCAGGGGGTGGAAGAAAGGAGTGGAGTTTTTCTTTTACTATTATCAAATTCAATTATCATTTAAATACTTAACACTTCATATACTTATATCTTTGATAACATTAGAAAGTTAAGCAACGTGCTGTATCATCTATCGAATAGTTGATGATTCTTTTAATATAAGAGTTAAGCAACATGCGGTGCGAGGGTTAATTCAAATTGGTGATATTTTTCATGGGGTGAAAGAAAGGAGTTGTAGTTTTTCTTCTACTATTATCAAATTCAATTATCATTTAAATACATAACACTTCATATACTTATGTCTTTGATAACATTAGAAAGTTAAGCAACATGCGGTGCGAAGGTTAATTCAAATTGGTGATATTTTTCATGGGGTGGAAGAAAGGAGTGTAGTTTTTCTTCTTTAATTATCATTTAAATATTTAACACATCATGTATGGTTTCTATCAATTCTATAATGAATGAAGAATTTTGCAATATTTTTCTCTCCAAAGCGCTTTACACTTGTTAACATAACAAATTTCAATCCATAAATGAATGAGCTAAGAACATGTTTTCAGTGAAAATCCTACTTATTTCATTTAATTTCACGCGTTTAAATTAATTCAAATCTCAACACTTCTCTCTTTTTCCCCAAAAAAGTTCCATCTTTTTTTACATAACAACACGCCACTTACAACGCGTTAATCTTTCGCAAATAGCCCGATTAATATGTAAATTAATTTCGTTTAATCTCGGCGCGATTTTGCGGGAATTTCTCGTTAACTCTCCACATTCCCTTCTCATTTTTTTTTTCGCATTCCACCCTTTTCTCGCTTTTCGCTCCTTCCCATTTACCATCATCATAAATGTTATCAGATGCAATTAGCAAGCACCCTTTTTCCCAACGTGTAATCCACTTTCAAATGGAAAGCATACAATTCAACACAGATTATAATTCAAAAGTTGCATTCATTTTTTTTAAACGTTTGATGACAGATTTAATCATAATTTAAAAAAAAAGACTGATTTTGTATAGTCCGGATAATCTGTTTGAAACCGGACTAATCACATACAAAAATAAAACGTATAATTTTCTTATTAAATTTTTTTTATCATGACATTTTCATATAATCCGGACTGATCGAAGCTGTACTAAGTGAGGTATTGCTGTAGTCTTGAATACAATTGTGAAATAGAAGTAGTTTTCGTTTAAATGTTTGATGATTTGAAAGAATTAAGCGATTGAAATCGGAATGCAAATGGTAAATTGAAATAGAGTTTTCCATCTGAATAAACAGTTTTCTTTGTTCCGTAATGCTTCCCCGATTCACCTTGGCTCGACTGCAGTATTCACATGAAAAATTGCAAGGCGAAAAGGCCAAGGTGATGTTTCGTGGCCGAAGGGACAGGAATAACAATAACGCTTTCCACTCGATTAAATCGGGCGCTATTTCCGTGTCGCGCAGTATCAAGGATAATACGCGAGGATTGTTTAAAAGGAACGTATGTTTTCAGGACTCGCTGAAGAGCTACCAGGGCCACTACAAGCGCAACGCCGACCACCAGATCCACTTGATCACAGGTACAATACATCAAAAGCGTTTCAACAAAGCTTTGTTACAAAAGCCCCCACAGATTCTTATGTTGCGTGAAAACACGTCGACGAAATCCCTTTCAAATTACCCAATTATCCAGGAATTTTCATTAAATTGAAGCTCCGCTGTTTGAAAATCCATTTTGCTTTGCACAAATATTGAAAAAAATGATTTGATTTGTGTTTCTGCTTAGATTGCATCTACATGGCTTCAGACGAGGGAAGGTATTACCACAAAGCGAATCAGGTGGATGGAACTGCGTGCGGGATTTACCTCTTCGCAGATCCGGATCAGAAGATTGAGGTTCATTTTAATAATCTCGATGTGTCTTGTGATAACGGCGGTTTGGTTTCGGTGAGTTGCGTAATTATTAGACACATTTCAGAATTAGTTTTACTTTGACTTGTTTTTCACCAATTTTTTTGCTTTGTAGTTTGTGGATGGATGGGAATTGAACGGGCAGTTCTTCCCCAGTCCCGAGGATCATCCTAGACCTATGGAGTCCAGGTATCGCGAGTTCTGCAATGAACGCAAAGTTAAGCAAGTCTTCGTGAGTTCGCAGAACGTCGCTCTTATCCAATACCGGATGCCTGCACGAGGCAGCAGTTTCAGCTTCACCGTCAGATTCATCAAAAACCCAACACGTAAGTTTTCAACTAATTTCACAAATATTAACATTATACTGAAAAATTAAGTGTTTTATACCATACATTTTTTACACGTTTTCGCTTATACACGGTTAAAAATGGATTAAAACAAAATAAATCATGAAAATAATCTGTCCCTCGTTTTACACGGTACTTATTTAAACAAAAATGTCGCTATTACACGATAACAATTTAGATTTACATGTTTCTATCAGGAACCTTTCTACCGTGTAAATCGGGGAATAGGTGTATAGTTAATAGTTTGCAACTAATTTTACAAATATCAACATTATACTGAAAAATTAGGTTTTTATGCGGTATATTTTTTTACACGGTTTCGCTTATATACTGTTAAAAATGGATTAAAACAAAATAAATTTTGAAAATAATCTATCCCTCGTTTTACACGATACTTATTTAAACAAAAATGTCGCTTTTACACGATTACAATTTAGATTTACACGTTTCTATCAGGAACCTATTTACCGTGTAAATCGGGGAATAGGTGTATAGTTAATAGGTTGCAACTAATTTCACAAATATCAACATTATACTGAAAAATTAAGTTTTTATACGGTATATTTTTTTACACGTTTTCGCTTATATACTGTTAAAAATGGATTAAAACAAAATAAATGTTTAAAATAATCTATCCCTCGTTTTACACGGTATTTCTTTAAACAAAAATTTCGCTTTTACACGGTTACAATTTCGATTTACACGTTTCTATCAGGAACCTATCTACCGTGTAAATCGGGGAATAGGTGTATAGTTAATAGTTTGCAACTAATTTCACAAATATCAACATTATACTGAAAAATTAAGTGTTTTATACCATACATTTTTTACACGTTATCGCTTATACACGGTTAAAAATGGATTAAAACAAAATAAATCATGAAAATAATCTATCCCTCGTTTTACACGGTACTTATTTAAACAAAAATTTCGTTTTTACACGGTTACAATTTCGATTTACACGTTTCTATCAGGAACCTATTTACCGTGTAAATCGGGGAATAGGTGTATAGTTAATAGTTTGCAACTAATTTCACAAATATCAACATTATACTGAAAAATTAAGTTTTTATACCATACATTTTTTACACGTTTTCGCTTATATATTGTTAAAAATGGATTAAAACAATATAAATGTTGAAAATAATCTATCCCTCGTTTTCTTCACGGTTCTTCTTTAAACACAAATTTCAGGAACCTATATAACGTGTAAATCGGGGGATAGGTGTATAGTTAATAAATATTTGAAATGTATATAAATTTAACTATTTAATTGAATTATTGATTATATAACAGAAATTGTAAAGTTAATTAATATATAATTCAGTCTACAAATACAGTTGCGAAATTGTGCTGAAACTGTAAAGCACAACGGTAACTTAAGCTCTTTGATGCTGTTTAACTTTTCTCATCCATCCGTACTTTCCGCTCGTCAGAGGCCGCTTTCGCTAATCCTCCCATTCATTTCATATTTGCGCAAATCTTCCAAGCCATGTACTTAATCTCCGTTCATACATATCACTCAAATACAGTTGTCCTCGTTCGTCTCTTCTATCTTTCATGCCACTTGTCGCATCAACGACGATTGGAATGTCGCAGAATTACTAAAATCCTTATTGTTTCCTGCTCATATTTAGGATTAAAATCATATAAAATTATATGTTTTTTTTTATACTACATAAAACTAATACAAATTTATTTTTTAAATTTCTAATAAATATTAAAAATATGATTTATTTAACAATATATACCATTTTTTTAATAGAAAATGTTTGATTGAACAAAAATATGAAGCAAAATTTTAAATTCAAGATGTTTTTATGCAATAATTATTTCAGTGTAAATATTTAGTATTCATTTACTTAGTGTAAATAAAGTAGTTGTCTCATAATAATAACAACGTAGAGTGGACAGTGGAGGATTTGTAAACAGAGTAAATTGGATGAAACTGTTTATTTATCCAGGTGCGATTCGTTTGCAATTATTTTTCTCATTTTCTTGCATCAATGTTTACTACATTTTTTTCTGTATCTTTGTGTTGTTGTTGTTATTGTGCAGCTTGCAACGTGCTCCTGCAGAACACCGAGGACATCGTGACGTTGAGAAACTACGGAAGAAGGAGCAACTGCAGCATCAGCGCCCTTTTTCCTGCAGCCATCCGAGTCGTGTCCTTGGACGTCGGCGTCGTTTCCACAGGTGAACGTGCCATCGAGATCGAGACGGGCACGCTTCATAAGGTGGGAGAACAGGTGACACACGTGCACACACTCATCTACTCCAATTTGCGAACTTCCACGAAAACCTTCATCATTAAATCATGCATCTCCCGATTTCCAACACCTAATAGGATACTCGAAGTTTTCCTCCTTTCGTTTATTATACATTTCGTCCTCGAAACACGAGCAAGGACTTATTTTTTTTCAGTTCATTAATTTTCTCTTTAGTTCGAGCAAATGCCTTTTACACAAAACGAATTCAATCTTCTGGTTTCAATTGTTACGCTCGAAGTACGCTTTTATTCCGATTTCAACTTTTTGAACAAAACACGTGAAACAAGGAAACAAACTTATTTCTTATTTAGTTCAAGCATCTCCACTGCTTCTTTACGTACACATTTGTGACATAACAAGAAAAAGACAGTAATTTATAGAAAATGAAATAATTTAAATATAAAATTACATAAAATTGTAGTTAATAAATTTAATTCTACATCAATCATTAAAATTATTTAAAACAGTAACGTTAATAAAAAAAAGTAATTATATTTATAGTAAAAGTAAGATTTATTTATCCCATAACTACTACGGACAAATAAATAAAACACAAGTACCGCCTCTGGGTCAAAATGACCTGTTTATAAAATATTAAAAACAATTAATTATTTAACAAATTGAATATGAGCTAAAACTGATTTTGCTATTCAATTTTTTTTATCAATTAGAAGAAATTGGTCTTTTGCATATGTTACAAAACGTTGCTGATTTCTTGTAGCTCTTTCTTTTGGATCTATGAATTCTAAGATTTATCAGTTTTTTTTATTTTCATTCACAGTATTATGTGATTTCACTTTAAAATACAAATATTATTGATATTTCAAGAACGTATTTGAAATTCCGAAGTTCCTGCTGAAAAGTGCACTAGAATATACTAGAATAGCTAGAAGATCAATTAAATTACAATTGAATGAAAACAAATATCAAGTGGGTCACTTTGACCCATCTGTGGTACTTACGTTAAAGCACGTTAAATACATTAATTTACATTCTGCAAATCTCAAGTCTAAATAATATTATGAGAACAAAAAAATGAACTTAGTAAGTTTACTATTTTATTAAATAGGTTGGATAAGTTTCAAGAAAGTCACTGTTCCTATGACAATCACAATACTTTAATGAGTTTCATTATTAAAATTGTTTCACTTATTTTTTTTGTTGCTGTTTTAAAATTGTTTGTATAATAACTAATGGATTGTTAATCCGTGAGCTTGTTTTAGTTTTGCCCAGAGTTGTGCACGTAATATTGGCAAACTTTTAATGCTCTCAACTGTGTGTACTTTCGGTGCAGGCAGAGGATATTTATTATTAGCTGTTTGCGTTTGTGAAACCGTTAACAGTTTCTGTATTTTTCAAACGTTCAAGAAAACTTTATTCATTACTGTAGCAAATGTATATAGTTTATTGACTTTCTTTTTCAATTAAGATAAAAATATAATATGCACGTATAAATATTGTAGTGTACTTCAGAAAATCATATATAAAATAGACAATAATTTAATTATTCTTTCTAATTACACAAATATAAAAAAAGAGACAAAAAGTTAGAATTATTATTTTCTAATATTGAAGTTAATTACAGAAAATTATACATAATTAATTACAAATATTTTATTTAAATAGTTAAAATATATAAAAATAAAAATTCTGTAACAAAAACCTCTCTTTTTACTTAGAAATGATTAATTTATAAAATATATATATAAAAAAGACTGAAAGTTGTTAGTTTTTTAAATTATTGAATTTAATTGCAGAAATTTATACATAATTANNNNATTGCAGAAATTTATACATAACTAATTACAAACATTTTGTGAAATAGTTAAAATATATAAAAAAAATCTCTAATGAAAATCTGCTCTTTTATCTAGAAATAATTAATTTAATTAAATATTATAAAGAAGATGATGACAAAATAAAATAAGAACGAAATAGTAATAAATTGGAAATATGACTTGGATGAATGCGATTGGTTTTTGTGGAGAAACGATTTTATTTTTCAATTGGTAAGAATTTATTGTTACGTTACGTATTGTAACAAAGAAAGTTCTTAATTAACGTTGTCGTAATTATAAGTTTCGCAGCCCTGCGGCTTCGAACGCAGTCGAATGTTAGATGCAAAGTTTTCTTTAGAAACATACGTGGCAAAGCAAAGTTTTATTTGTAAGTCTCTTATTATTTGAAAGAAACAAATAAATATTAATTAAAAGATATAGAAATTAGATAAATATTACATATAAAAATTAATTATTAATTATTTATCTAAATTAATAATGAACATTATTTCATAAAATAAGAATTCATAAAATCATATAAATTTTTTTATTAATTTGTTAATGCATGGAGAAATTGTTGCATAATATTTCGTAGACTGAGATTTTATTTTATATAATCTCATTATTTTCTTTAAGAAATATGAACATAGAGACAAGAGTTTTGCAAATTGAGACTTTATATTAATTAGCGCATTTACTTTGATGCTAACATTTATTTCAATGAAAAACTCGTTAAATCTTACAGATTTTTCAAGATAACACATGAAAATTATATAATAAACATATAAATCTACTTTATCTGTTAGAGTAGTTGAAATTGCTATTCGTAAATGGTGGATAATTACAAGATTTATCATATAATTTGCTAATTAATCCAAATAGAAATTTATTTCTAAAACACAAAATAATGAACTTTTATGGACCATTCAAACTGAATCAAATAAAGCATAACGAACATGTTTATTGACCAACAAAGCCACTTTACCGTTAACCGCAGTCATCCTGCTACATTAAATTAATTATACCATTTCACAGCCAAGTCTCATTTTCTCTCATCCTCATCTGGAATTCGCGCCGTTCCCTATCGTTGTTTATTTTTTACGTAATTCCATTTAACGCGATTAAAACCGCACACGAAACGTAATTACGTCCGGTCCGCTCTAATGAAATTCACTGCACTGTCCGAACCATTATTTCCATGCCCACGTAATCCCTCCAACAGCCTTACATAAAATATATGTAAAAATATATAATAAAATAACTTAATTTTTACGTGTTTTCAACAATTTTAGTGCCAGAAGCGAGGACTCGAGGATTACGTGCAAATCGGCGGATCCGCCGGGCTCGACAACGCTGGTCTCCTATTGGCAGACTCAGTCTGCGGAATTGACTCGAAACCAGGTTCGTCTATCAATTTACGTGGCGAAATTCACGATGAAGAGTTTAACATTTTGTTAAAGTAAATACAATTTTGTTAGGAAACTAACTAAATCTTGCAATTATTCGCATAGTGCAGTTCCGGACTATTTGAAACCGGATTAAAGAATTAAATACATACAATAATGCACAAATACTTGAGTTTATAGAATTAAAAGAAAATGATCATTTATGTATTAAAAGTATTTCGTGTACTAATTTTTAGATCAGATTATAGTGAAACCGGACTGATCGAATCCGCACTATGTGATATATTGCTTTTTTTTATTTATTAACATCTTTACATTTGATGATATGTAGAAAATAAGGGTTGAAAAAAATGGATTACTTCCGGAACGATTAAGCCACCTTTCGTGCACGTCGAATCGTGTCGTGCCGTGCGAATTGAGGAACAAAAATAAAGAAAAAACAAGTGAAACGAATGAAGAAAAAATTAAATCAGGGTACAAATTATTCGTATTAACATAGCAATCTTTCATAAACGGAACGATCGGATATTTATTCGTGTTTTCCTGCGTCGGAAATGGTAGCGCACAAATCAAAACCCCTCGTTTTTTGTTCCTCGGAGAAGAGGTTCGGAATTGCGGTAAATCAAACAAGAAAAAAACTATAGCAGATATTTTCAATTCGTGCGAAAATTCGCCGGTTAATTCCCGGGGTTTTCGAGCAGATTTATGGCTTTTAATTACAAACCGCAAGCGGTGGAAAAAAAATATATAGGAGAGTATCGAAACGGATACTTCCTGGCGATCCGGTGCGGTTGAATTATCCATCCACGTTCTTCCATTATAACGATTATTCCCAGTTTTAAGTTTACCGAGGAAATTTGTTTGCGTATGCAATGGAAATGGGGGAAAAAGCTCGATAACGAATGAGGACGACCGACCGTTTCCTTTAATATCAACACGTTTCAAGTGTTATTAACGCAGAGGACTTTAATATTTGAACAGAATCATTTTTTTAGGTATAGTCAAAACGAAATATATGATACTAGTATAAAGTTTGTTCTAAATTATTTTTTTATCAATTTATTTAAAATTTTACAAAAAAACTATATAAACTAAGTTTTCCATGCAATAAAGTTAAGAAATTGGTTGAATTTTTCAAATTTTAGTATTTATTTATTAATTGTACTTAATTATGGAAATTTTTATGAAAAATTTCCTAAATTATTTTATATATAATTATTCAAGAAATACTCAATGTCAAAACATGGAAATATTTAATTATTTTTATGATTTTTTAATTGAAAATTTCGCATTGTTGATGATCATTTTTATAGAACGTATATTGTGTGTGATCAAGGTTAATGTTATCATAATTGTAGGCGCATAATGTAATAGTAATCATGAGCGGACTTAATGGATAAGGTATGACAAGAGGAAGTTAATCGGGTTACTGCTAATCAGCTTTAGAAGGGTTAACCTTTAGGTGGTGATAAACGTGAGGTGGCATGCTTTCAAAGGACTTTGATTACAGTAATGGACGCAGCAAATTGCATAATTTTTAATGCACTTTTTTATTCTAGAAAACGAGAAAATAAACATTATTATAGGAGAAGTTTAACAAGAGTTAACTTTAACACTTATAATTTGATGAATTTGGAAAATCGATTATTTTGTATATAAAATTAAAGAAATATTTAATACATTTATAAGATATACCGTGTCAACTAGTTAAAACCAAAAGTATTGTATAAAATTGGAAGAGAAAAACAATGAAGAAATACAAATATGAAATTATTATCTAACTAATTTAATTTTTTTAAATCAGACAATTGAAATTCATGTACAGTAGAGAATCAAATTATCATTCTTTTGAAGAATTCAAAACTTTTACATAATTTGGAAGTAAAAATTAAAGATTTTCAAAGCTGAATTTCCATATAATTAGTTTAAATTTGTTACAACAAATATTTTTTTTCTAATTTATGATAATGATATAATAAACTGTTTATCAATATAAAAAATTCAAAATTTTTCTATGATTTTCACGAATTTCCAGACTTAATAATTTTTATATCATTTTAAAGTGAAATTTTAGAAAATTTGTTACAATATTTTTATTCTAAATTATGTAAGTTACATAGTAAAATTTTCATCCAAAGTTTGGTACAATTTGTAAGTAAAAATTGAGTAAATACAGAAATTGAATATAAACTTAAAGAATCCAATTAAATAAAATTATATATATTTAATAATAAAACTTTTTCAATTTATGATTTTTTATTAAATGTAATATTTTACTGATTTTATAAGTTTTATTTTTTATTAATTTTCAATTTGTTTGAAACTTTGGAAAAATTTATATAATTACTAAGTTTTTTATACAAAAATATGAAGAAGTTAGTTGATTTTTTCAAATTTTGGTCCTAAATTATCGTAATAAGCTTAATTTTATTTTCTAGTTACAATTCAAGTAATTTAGTATTTTTTGAAAATTTGTGATTTTCTTTGTTTTTTTTACCTTCCAGCAAATTTTTCCATTATCATAAAAATTGTAGCTGGAAGATAATGAAACACACAAGAAAGTAAAAAAATGGATTTTCAAACACTTAAAGAATACAAAAAAATAGTACTCAAAATAATTATATAATTACACAAAAAGCTCTAAAAAAGCTCCAAAAATTGGATTGAATCTATTTATATTTTTTTTTTGAAGATATTTGGGAAAGGTAAATTTTTATATGAATACATTTGGATGATTGCTAGATTTCGACTTTCCTATTACTATACCTTACCTCAATGAGTTAATAATAACTTAGTATATCCATATTGTATTGTTAGTAATGATTATATATGTTGGTAGTAATGTAGCACTAATAGAATTGTAATCATAATGAAAGCAAATGCACCTTGTTATTAATGAAGATTGGTTGAGGCATTGTTGCATTTGTCGGCTCCATTAATCGTCACTTCATTTCATTGGTTAATCAATTAACCAATGGTCGATCACTAATTGAATCCGCAGGCGATCGCAGCGAGCTGATTGGATGCGGCACCAGCACGGTCAGACTCGTCTCCAGCGGCGGCTTCGATAATTCCGTAACCGTAATCATGAGGGAACTCAACGAAGAAGACATCGCAGGATTCCTGAGCGTGATCTGCCCAATCGATGGCCTCCTCGAATAGGTAAACCATCAAATTGAATCCTAATCAGGCGTTAATCTACCAACATTTTCTTGCAGATCCATCGACAATCCACTCACGTCAATTTGCGCAGAATAACCAATCTATTTCGATGATCAGTATTAAAGAGAAAATAAAACCATGGATTAAAGAAAACATATAAAAAATATACATTAATCTTCTTAGTCGAGTTGAATAAATATTAAAACTACTTTAAATAATCATGTGTATGTTTGTATGTACAACATCAATACTTATATAAGTGTGTACAAAATGAATAATAAAGGAATAAGAGAATGAAGCAAAAATAATATTATCTACATCCTTGACTTGATGGGGGAAAGGGTGGTTTGAGCGAAAAGAGATACATATTTTTTCCTTCCCTTATTTTTTGTTGTTGTTGTTGATGGGTTAGCTGATGGTGGCTTCCTGCGCAATTTTCCATTTCCCTCCGCTATCTTTCGCTTCGCAGGGTTTATAATCAAGGCAATAATTAATAGCCTCCGTCACGCCATCCGATAATTTTCAACAATACCGCATGTTGTTCGAACGTAACCTTAAAAGCGCGTTGATAGATGGCGGTAGTTGTTAAGGATACAGCAGGATGCTGCAGGATTCAGCAGCTGCGCCACCTGTTACGATCAGCGAACTAAGCTATTCAAAATAACGATTTGCAACCACAACACAGATTTACAACTAATTGCTGCACATTGTTACAAACTTAATCGATGAGTTAATGCTTAATTCAATTGCATACATAATAAAGTCCTTAATTAGTTGTATTACTTTTATTGATCAAAATTGTTGTTAATATCTTTAATCACTTTGATTGTCATTACAAAACAATCCATCTATGATTAATTAATTTAATTACTTAGAACTTATTAAATATTCACTCATGTTTCAAATCTTGTTTCATAAAACAATCAAATATAATTATAGATTGAATAATTATTGTTATAATGATAAAAAAATAATTAGAAATATTTCCAACTATTGATTTTAAATAGTGTTTATATCTTTATATTTTACACTAATTTTCACAATTTAAAGCATAAATACCTAAATTTCTTTTTTTATAAAAAACTTTTTTCTTTATTTAAATCAAAAACAATTTAAATTATTTTATAACTTCTTTCATAATTTAATTTTTTAAATAATTCAATCAAAATCGATAATGCTACAAGTTTCCTAAAATCTTTACAGCATGACCTAAATTATTTATTAAAGAAAAAAACTTTGCGGTTGAATCATTGATATATGGAAAACTTTTATATATAAAATATTATTTATTAATTTAAATTAATCTTTAAAAGTAAGAAATTGATATTACGTGAATGAAAATTATTTAATTACTTAGAAATATATAAAACTAATTTTTCATATAATTCTATTGTAAATTTTACAACTTCTTATATAATTTAATGTTTAAATAACATATTTAGATCGATTTTACTTTAATTTTAGTACTCCAAACTTTATTGAGTTAGGTTACCCAAATTATTGATTGGAGAAAAACTTTTTGGAATTAATGCCAAAATATACAAAAAGTTGAGAAGCTTAGGTAAATGTATGCTAATTTATACTTTATTTCAATAACATTCATTTGTGATTAATAAAATTGAAATGACCTTCCAATTTCGATACATTTTGCCGGTTTTGTACGTTGAGAGTCTGTGAACACATTTTATCAATTTGAAGGATTGTTATTACCCGGGCAGAAAGACCGATGGTCAATAGCCCTTTGTAGCAGATTAATTTCTTATTTTGATTTTATTGTTATAAATTTTGTTTTTTTTTTGGGTATGTACTATGATTTGTTAAATCAATATTATTACTAAAATTGAATTGAAATGTATATAATTTCACAGTTATACAACAATTATTTTCAATTGGCAGACTTTGGTAGATTTTTAACATTAGGTTTAAAAACAATGCGAAAACTTATAAAAAGTTTGTTAACCATACGTTTATGTTATAATAAAGAAATCATTTAACAAACAAAAAACAAAACTTTAACAAATAGCCGAATGGTTAAGTCGTCCTACTCTCGTGCCAGTGGTCACAGGTTCAAATCTTGGTCTTTGTGAGCCCTCTCGGTGCTTGTACCAATAGGGCCATCGTTCATCACAGATGGATAATGAATTGAATGAGGTTCAGCATATGGACCTTCAGCCGTCAGCAGTCAAAGGAAATAGTGGAATCAGAGCATCAATATACCACTGAAGTTAACCTACAAGACGACAGCCATCCAACAAATTGAAAAAATCATCATAATGTCAATCGCGATCTTAAATTTACTCAATGTTCACATTGATGAACAGATTGTGAATAAAATTATACGAAATAAAAAAAATGTAATTAAAACATCAATTAAAAATTTAAGAAATTAGATTTTTAATATGAAAATTTATATGAAATTAGTTAATTTTTATGTAAGATTTTAAATTTCAAATATATTTGTATTAGTGAAAATGTGTCAATATTATAGTTGCAGTTTGATGACCTGCTTGGAATAAAAATAGTTTTTTTTTCAGTAATTAGTCAAATTGAAAAATGTTTATTGATTTGGTAAGGAAATGGAGACAGGCCTTTTTGGAAGTAATAACCTTTCGTGGAAGTGAAACAGTTAAAAAAAAAATGGGGAGGAAAACAATCGTCAAAAGCGCTTTAGAACAGGTGAGTTAATTAGACGTGAGCTCATTTGATTTATGACTTTCAGGAGGTGAGTCGATATTCGGTCGACAATCGTGTTTATTATTAACGTTTCGAATTAATTAATTGCCGTGTAAAATCGTGCGATAAGCCGTGTACCGTGTTTAATTAAGGTAAAGGTGGAAGGACGAAAGTATTGGTTGTAGCGACGAGAAAATGTTCTGGAACTTAACCAAACTAATAAAAGGTGGCACACTACATCTTGCATTCCTTTTCGTACACGAAATTGATTCAATCGACTTGTAATTACTTTTTGTTTCGATTGGATCGATCCAGTTCCGAGTGGATTTCCAATTGTACTCGTTGCAGCCGGTGGCGTAATTACGTTTTACGCAGTCCTTCCAACCTCTCTCTTCGCATGCAAACGAGGACACGAGCAAAAGTAACCCTTTCCTGCCTCCACCACCAATACCACCCCCTAACCGACGGCCAACTAGTCGAGCTCAGTCAGCTAGTCAGCCAGTTAGCTGGCCACGTATAAGTTTCTCTCTCTCCCCTCAGTTTAATCAAAGCGGAGCAACGCAGACAACTTGTTTGCCTCGGACATTACCGTCACAATCCCAAATCAAAGAGACGAACTTGCCAAAACTCGTCCTCCACATACTACGCCAAACATCGGACCGAACTAACCCAAACCCCTTATCAGCTTAATGGAAATTGGCCATTTTGCCGCACTTATTAACTGACCCAAATTTGATTCCAAGTTCACCCTTTCTTTTTTTTCCCATCCTCCTTCTCTTTACTTTCCAACGAAGGCCAGCAATAACATTCACTTCTTGTGGTGTAGTTCATCCACTGAAACTACTTTAATCTACTTAATTACACAATTTTCATCCATCATCTTATAGATCTATTAAATTTAAACTTTTTATATAATGAAAGTATTAAGTAATTGTTAGAATTAAAACTTAATGCAGACATTAAGAAATGTTGTTAATAATTATAATTTTAAGTTTAATTTAGTAAGTAAATAAAAATCGTAAAACTGACGTACTTAAATTTGAATTCGTGTGAGAATTATACTAAAAAGTTTTTTTTATTGCAACCATGAATAAAATCATATCTCAGTTCTCACTACATAAAATAGACATTACAATGGTTTTATAGACACGACGTGAGTCAAAACAGATCAATAAATCATATTTTTCTATAATATTATGAAAAAAAAAGTTATGTACAAATGTATGTAATTTGAAAATAAAAGATATATTTTGTAAACGTTTTATTTATATTATTTTTCTATTAAAATCTACTAGAAATAAAAAAAAAACAATAAGATTTGATGTTTTCAATTGTAATAATCTCTTTTGTTATAAGAATTAAGTTTATTTTTCTATTTTACTTAAGAATTTCAGAAAAAAACCTAAAACAATAAAGAAAATTATGCAAGTTTATGAGGTGATTAATGGAAGTGCATTTAGAATGTTACAATTTCAAAATTTTCAGTTTTTATCTTTTCGTCCACTTTCTCTCTTAGCAGATCCGCACTCCAGAGAAAAGGATGGATTCGCAATAACACTTACTTTGCGTAGAAAAGGAGGAGAGAGTTGGAAAAATATAAGAAAAAAGAGACAGAAATGCTCCATGAGAGGAAGTTTAATATCGCAGCCGGAGGCGCTTGAAGCTCCATCGTATATTTTCGATGAAGGGGGGCGGCATTCCTTTTCCACGCGGATTTGACTTTCAAACGAACGCCACCCCTCTTCTCTCTACCGCCGTATGAAATAATAGCCGAAAGTTTCTAGATTTGAATTATTACCGCCGCCGCCGCAGCCACCACAAGATGAGCACTAGAAAAAGAAAAGACTTTTTTTATTCACTGAAGAAATTCACTGAGTGTTGAATGAATATACGTTTTATTTACAGCGTTTATTTGAAATGTATTATATAAAATAGGTGGCTTTGATATTTATGAGAAGAAAAATTGTAGTACGTATTTATATTGTTAAGTTAAACTTTACAACTTAAACCTAAATACTGTAAGCTCAACTTATGGGTCAACATTGGGACATCTTATGGACAACATTGCTCAACTTATGGGTTGCGTAAATTTGTTAATAGTCTACGAAATAACAGCTGTTATCTTGTATGACATAAGGTGACAGCTGTACACCTTATTTGACATAAAGTGACAACTGTTCACTTTATTTGACATAAGGTGATAGCTGTCAAGTATATTATATAAAATAGGTGGTTTTGATATTTGTGAGAAAAAAAAATGTAGTACGTATTTATATTGTTAAGTTAAACTTTACAACCTAAACGTAAATACTGTAAGCTGAACTTATGGGTCAACATTATGACAACTTATGGACAACATTGCTCAACTTAGGGGTTGTGTAAATTTGTTAATAGTTTGCGAAATGACAGCTGTCATCTTGTTTGACATAAGGTGACAGCTGTACACCTTAT